CTTCCACACACAAAAAACACATGCGTGGGGGGCCTGCCAGCCCACCCTGCCTATACAGAGGCCAGAATACCGCCACCCTGATCACCCAGGACTTGGGGTCAGTCTTCTCTCCTGCTGGTACCGAGGTTCCCACTGGCCCAGCGTTGGGTCTATGTGGGTCATGAGGCCACAGTCCCCTTGCACCCACTTCAGGCACTTGGAGCCCCTTGCACCCCCACATGCATGTTGACACAGTTGCCCACATCTGTAGCCAAGAGTCCTGGAACTTCACAGTGTGGCCCCCTGGAGTGAGTGTTTTCGCGGTGTGGGAGCTGAGGTTTGGGCGGATGAATTTTTCATGAGCTGGTGCTAGAGCAGAACCAGAGCAGAGGCTGCGGCTGGGCAGGGGGTGGGCAGGCCTCCGGGCCCTCCTGCTGCTGCCTCAGTCTCAGGGATGGCGAAGGCCCTCTGCAGGTGGGTGGGGTCAGAGAAGGCAGGGCCAGGGCTCTGATCATCTGTCTGTCTGGGTGGGAGAGAGAAGGAGGCGGTGGGCTGGGGGCAGACAAACAGAGCTGCTACTTTCTGGTCCACCCGAAGCCCAAGGTAATAAAAGAGAAGGCGCCCCTCCTGCCAGGGCCTTGGAGCCAGGCCTTGTTCTCTGGGAGCGAAGCAGTTTGATGTTCCTGTACCCTCAGCTTAGTCCTGCCTGCCAATCAACCGCCGTTGCCCTGACAACACACTCTCAGACAGGCAGGGGTCTGTGCTCTCAGTGGGAGGTGCTGGCCCAGGGTTGAAGCTGCCAAGCTTGGGGCCGGGTTTGCAGATGGAGCTGGGCTGGGGCTAGTCTGGTCCCCCATAGGTACAGCTGCCCCAGGTGCCTAGACCTGAGATTGTCTCCAGGCCCCAAGGCATGTGGGCTCTGGCTTAGCCTTGCGGGCACACTTTGAGGGGCAGCTAGACCAGAGCTGGGTGTCCAGCCCTAGACCAGGCCTTGAATGGGGATGTGTGTCTCTGGTCAGAGGCACTTGGAGGTGGGCACAGAAAGTTGCTAGGAGACCAGTACCAAGGTTGTGTACCATCTCCTCAGTCCCCATTGGGGATGCGCCAGACATCATCCCCTCCACCTGTCCTCCTCTTGGGGAGACTGACGTCCCTCACTGCCCCACAGGGAGAGGCAGAACCAACCCTCCTTGAGCTCTGTGCGGTGGGGCAGAGGGATTGCACGAGCATCAGACACTGCAGTACTGCGTGATGGGGTTGAGGTGGTTAGTGGCCCCATTCACAGGCAGCGGGGCATCTGCTTCAAAAGGGTCTACGGTCATGAGCTGGTCCTTTTGGGTCAGAGGTCAAAGCAGCTGAGCCAGGCGCAGGGACTGATCATGATTACAGGGCCAGGGGCTCATTGTGACCGAGATAGAGGAGGAGGTGGGCAGGGTCCAGAGCTGATGCGGGAGTGGGAGACCAGAGGCCGCCTGCTGTCTATCAGTTTGTCTGACTGTGGCAGCATGTGGACCAATGGGGCCTTCACGGTGGACAGGTTTCAGCGTTGATTCTAGACTTAAGACCAACCAAGAAGAAAGGACTGGTGATCTACTTCCAAACCCGAGCCCATGAAAGGCCCCTGGATCATTGATTATCAGTGAAAGCCCCCTAGACCCACCCAGCATGGTGCCAGAAGGCGAGCCTCTAGGGCGGCAGGCTCTCAAGGGTGCACAGTGGACCCCAGGGCACCCATAGGGTGCCGGTTCCGGCACCGGCAGCGAGTTGTCTGTTGTACACGGCATCACCGTGAGGCACAGCAGACCTGGCAGCAACCAACAACAGGGGGCCGGAGGCATCGGGGTAGACAGTGCGCACGCTGCGGCTAACCAGAAGCCTGGGGGCTCCAGGCTACTGCGAGGCCCCTCAGAAGACAGGGCTGACAATCTACTGCTACAAATCCCACAGAGCCCAGTTCTAGTTGGGCACCGGGGGAGCGGGGAGTGGGTGCTGCCACACGTCAGAAGCGTCTCTCCAGGGACCGGTGTCAGAATTGAGGGCCGTGACTGACTTAGGAGCTCACACAAGTCACGGAGCTGTCAGAGGCAGGGTGAGAGTGGGAACGAGGAAGAACTCGGTGTCCACAATAGGGAGTGGTGGGGTGATTGGGGAGGCTAGGTCACCCAGCATCCCTCCCGTGCTAGAGATGACCTCTGTGCCTGGTCTGAGCCTGTCCTTGGTGATGTCCAGGCTCAGCCTGTGGATGGACGCAGAGGGCTCCTCACTCTGCATTGACTCTGAGCTCATTGCGGGCTGGCTTTGTCAGCAACACCAATAATAACAGCTCTCACTTTTTACCCTGCTTACCTGGATGACCCAAACGGTTAAGCGCTTGGCAACTAACCAGAAGGTCGGTGGCTCGAATCCACCCAGAGGTGCTTTGGAAAGGCCACGGCCATTGGCAACGCTATGGAGCACAGGGCTGCTCTAAGGAGCATACGAGGCTCTGTGGTCTGGCCCTCATGCTGTGCCATTTGGATGTGTGCGCCCCTCCTCCTCTCAGCCTTAGGAAGTCGGTTCTTCTCTTAGTACCTCTCTGTTTCAGACGGGGAAACTGAGGCAACGGACAGTCAAGCAACTCCCCAGGGTCACACAAGTAAAGCCAGGACTCCATCTCAAGGACTCGTGCCTTTAATCATCACTCGGCCCTGCGGCCTGCTGACTGCAGGTCCCAGGAAAGACAGCTACCGAGCTAGCTCACATCTGCTCTCATGCCCTGTGGCTGAGGGCCAGTGGGGCAGCTGGAGCTGTGTCTAGGCTACAGGACAAATGGGGCCTTTTCTCCTTTCCTATCCCATTGGGGTGGGGACCCATAGTGAGCAAGGGATGGAACTGGCTCAGGAGACTAAGGCTAAGAGTTCCTAACAAGGCTCCCTAATGCCTGCCAGGAGCAGGCAGGAAAGAGCTGGGAGACTGGAGTATCGCAGGCTAAGAGCATCTTCGGGAGCCTGCCTCTGTCTGTCGGACAAAGCCCTCAGACCCTGGCAGGAGGACTTGCTGACCTTGAATCAGGCAAACGCCCCTTGCGTGGAATTGAACCGGTGGTCTCAGGAGGCCTGCATGTGGCATCCTGGAGCCGATTATCCTTAGCTTGCCCCTTACTGCTGGGAGCATTGTTGTGTGAGGAAGTCACCTTACCTCCTTTAATCATCGCTCCTCCTAATCTTTGAAATCAAACCAGCCCTACCTTTTTTAATCTTGCCTTGTGAAAAGTGTTTTATTTATATCTCACATTTTCCTGCCGCTCCACTTTCATCTTTTACCACCTTTTTATTATTTTAGTTTTACCCTTTCATATTTCAGCCCTGTCACACGTCTGTCCTCTTGCTTGGTGACATTTGGATGCTTCCCGTCTCCTTTTCTTCAACCTTGTCTCGACGGAGCTGTCCATTAAGTATTTTAATCTTTGTCTCTCTCCGTGCCGCCCCTTCCCTCTGATTCCGCTCACTTTGCCGCGTGATCATTCTCCCCGTAACCTTCCCAGGCCTTCCTCCTTCAACTCCCCTTTCATCCCGCTATTTTTACCCACGCGCCTCTAATTGCGCATCCGCCCCCTCGCGCTAGTCCTTTTGCTCCTTTTATTTGTTTATTTTCATCTTTTAGAGTCTTACGGGATGGCTGTTCTCCATCTCCTGTTTCTGCCTGGCTCATTGGTTTTAGCAGTCGGGACTGTTAGAGGAACGGCCGCCAGCCGAGTCCATTTGGATTCATAGCAATTCTGTGTTGGGTTTCCGAGGCTGTGAATATTTATGAGAGGAGGGTAGCATCATGTTGCTCGCTCTGAGTGGCGAGTGGGTTTGAACTTCTGACCTTGTGGTTAGCAGTCCCATAGGTACCGGCAAGGTTCCTTTAGATGGATAGATGGGTGGATGCATGGATAGATGCATAGATGGATGGATGGATAGATGGATGGGTGGGTGGATGGATAGATAGGATGGATGGATAGATAGATATAGATAGACAGATTTAACAAAAAGTCTATCAATAAAGGCAGGCAGGATGAGGATGTGGCTGTCAGGAGGCTATGAATGGGTCCCTGTCCCACCCCTCACCCGGCGCCCCCTGCCACATCTCCATAGCCACTGTGAGATCTTTGCCATGCTTAGGGCGGCTCCTCACACTCCTCTCGTCATGGTTCCCTGGGGACTGACTGGTGATGAGACCTCCACCTCCTCCCGAGAAGCTGATTCCCCAATGGCACCCCCTCGCCTTCTGCAACCCCAGCTACCTCTTCCTGCTCCCAGGGGTCCACGCCCAGCCTCTGAGCACACACAAGGGCAGTTTGCTGGAAGGAGGGCACAGGGCTGGACCAGCTGCCCATGCGGGCAGCCCCTTGTCTCGGCACCATGGGGCTGCCAGCTCAGTCCCTTCAGCCCCACCCCAGGTCCCATTCCGGGGCCTTCTCTCCAAGTACCCCAAAGTGAGTTGCGTTCCTTTCTGGCACCGGTACCACCTTGTCGCATGGTCCTCATGGGCATGCTGGCTTCTGCTTTGTTACGAGGAGATGCTGCCAGAGCCCTGACTGTCCTACAGGGGTCTTCAGCAGGGCTGCCTCCCCAGAGGGTGGCCTACACCAGGTTCCCAGAGCAGGGCTGTGTCTCCAAGAGGGTCGGTCCTCAGTCTCTGGGTGGTAAACATGGTCAACGTGGTTGACTACGAACTGAGAGCTTGAAGGTTCGAGCTCACTCAGAGGAACCTCAGAAGAAAGGCCAGGCGATCTGCTTCTCAAAACACCAGTCGCTGGAAGCCCCACGGAGCACCCTTCAACTCCCACACACGCAGGGTCCCCGAGAGCTGGAGCCGACAGGAGGCCTTCCAGGAGGGGCTGGGCACAGCATCGGTCAGTAAAAACAGGCCCTGAGACCCCGTGTGGCTTGAAATGGGTCAGGAGGAGGAAACCATTTGGTGATGGGGCACGGTGAGTGGGTGGGGTCCAATCCCATTCAGGAGAGTGGCCAGAAGGTCCCCCCTGTGGCTCTTACCAGCACGGTGGTGACGATGAGTGACCGGTTTGTCAGAGAGTCGGTGACGTTGGGGCCCCGGCCCTTGGCCACCTCTGTGATGTTGAGTCCCTCGGTGGGGCTCCACACCCCCACCTGGACAGATAGGTAGAGAGAGCAGCCTAAGCACCTGGTTCCCATACTGGCAATTCCACCCTCCCCTTCTTATTCTTTCCAACCATCCTGGCTCACAGGCCTGAGAAGAAGCCTGCTGCTGCCATCTGCTCTGAAGAGGCCCCGGGGTGTCTGCTCTCCAGCATTCTCCCACCTGTCCTTGCAGGCAAAGCTCTCGCTACTGGAGGGGAGACCCAGTGGGAGATGGTGAGAGCAGAGATGGCCCTGAGGACCCCCAGCGAAAACAGGCTGAGGCCGAGCTCCGTTAAGGCCCAGCTTAGGGGAGACAGAGGTCCTGGGCCAGAGCCAGGCCTGAGCCTGGTGGCTTCCACTCCTGGAGCAGGCCCTGGGAAGCCAGCTGCTTGCTCACTGGGTCTCCCCACAGGGCCAGCTCCCGGGGCAGAAGCCTCTAAAGCCCAGGGCAGGGGGATGCTGATGAACATTTGGGGAGTGGGTAAATGGAGGCTGACACCGCGGTGCAGGGGCAGGAGGAGGGACAGGGAGGGGACTTGGGAGGGCAGTTCTACAGCTAGGAGGTTCCCTGACCACGGTGGTCCCTCCTCTCTCTCCAGTGACCTGTTGCTCTCAGACTGAGGCTGGGGGGTGGGGTGGGGGGTGGCTGTGAAGCTTACAGACTGTCGAGGCCTGGGCTACTGGAAGCCCCCCTCCCCACACCCCACTCCAGCCCATCTTGGCTCCCCTCTCTCTGTCAGGAGGGTCTTGGCATGCCCGCTCTGTCCTCTGCCCAATTGCTGAGAGGGTACTCAAGAAACTTAATCAATTAAACAGAGAGGCTGAGTGCAAATATCTCATTAAGAGAGCTGAGCAGAGCAGATAGTAGAGAGATGTATAATTATGCTTGGGTAATTCTGCCTTAATCCTCCCAAAGCCACCGGCTGGAGCTGGCTGGATCAGTCACGGCCCCACTCAGCACACAGAAACGACCGGACGGGAGGCAGGGTGGCTGGGAGTGGGGGTACTCAGCAGCCTCTCAGGGTCTCGGCGTGAGAGGGCCACCCAGAGCCTGGAGACAGACAAAACCCAGGTGACTGGGCTCTCCAATGGGCTGGACAGAGTCACACCCATCCAGGGGGAGGGTGCGAGCAGTGGTCTAGAACAGGTGTCCGAGGCTGGACACACAGCAGAAATCCTGCCCCGGCCAGGATCTACCGAGCTTGGTGGCATCTCTGCTGGCCAACGGGTGCTGTGAGAACAGTGAGGGCTGTCAAGGACCCAGCTGCCGGGCCAGCGGTCCCAGGAGCTCTCTGCCCACAACCCAAGTGGCTGTGGGCAGGCGCATCTGCAGGCAGGCCAGCCTTTGTCCAGGGGACAGCCTGAGTATTGACGGTGGTCAATCTGTGCCCCTGGCCTCAAGGACGGTTGGGAGAAGGATTCTGGTGGTGTAGGCAGGCTCAGATGGAAGGTGGGCTCTGTCTGAGTTACAGGCAGTCCCTGGGTTATGGACCACACCTACTTGACCTTTAATGTTATGTGAATTCGCCCTCACTTTGAGAAAACCGATAGGAGCCCTCATTGCTTAGTGGTTACGCACTGGGCTGCTCTCCGCTGTCAGCAGTTCAAAACCACCAGCCGCTCCTTGGGAGAAAGATGAGGCTTTCTACTCTTGTAAAGAGGTAGAGTCTAGGAAACCCACAGCGGCAGTTCTCCCTTTCCTTTAAGGCCTCTATGAGTTGGAATCAACTCACTGACAGCGAGCTCGAGTTTTGGAAACCAATGAACCAACTCAGCACAGGAAACCCACGAGGTAACAGTAACCTTGCAGGGCAGAGTAGAACCGCCCCACAGAGATCAGAGACTGTCTCACCAGAGCCGGCAGCCTCATCTTTCTTCCAAGGGGCAGCTGGTGGGTTGGAACCACCAACCTTGCTTACTCCACCACACCACCAGGGCTTGTTGAGCCAATTCCCTCCCCCAGCCCCTGACTCACAATAAAGTCTTCATCATTGTCACCTTCACGTGTTGCACCTAAAGCTCTTATGCCGATTGCAAAGGCTCCCAGCCTGTCCGTGTTCCAAAGGCAGGCTGAATGCCGCCCGCAAGTGCCTGCTCTGACTCACAGACACGGCCAGGGAGGGATCTTGTTTTTAACCCTGGGCACTGCCTGGATTGATACCTGCCAACAGCATGGTATGTGTGCCACTCCTAGTACTTCAGCCTTTCCCCAAAGATGGGAAAGATGCAAGTAAGCATGAGTAAATGTAGGCTGCAGGTGGGAATGCTAACCACGAGATCAGTGGTTCAAACCCACCAGCTGCTCTGAGGGAGAAAGAGGAGGCTGTCTGCTCTCGCGAAGAGCCACAGTCTCAGAAAACCCGAGAAACAGTTCTACCCTGTCCTGCAGGGTGCTACAGGTCAGAATCAACTCGGTGGTGGTGGGTCTGGTTTATTGGGTCTGTGTACATTGTATGGGATTGCAAGAGCTGACTCAGTGATCTTGTGAGTGGAGGGCCCTGGCTCTGTCCTTGGGCACTGACACTGTGTGGGACAGAAGGTGGCTGCACAGGCATGGCGAGCCCCCCAGCCACCCCTGCCTGCACTGTGGCCTCGATGGAGTGGGTGGAAACTCAGGGTGAACAGAGTAACCATGTGCTGTGTGGGTCCATGCCAGAGAGAGTGGACAAGGGGGACGGCAGCCACACCCTGCAGCCAGGGGAAGAGTGGTGGCAAATGTGGGAGGTGCAGAGGCCAGGGGGCGGGGCAGTGCTCTGGCATCTACTTCGGGGAGAGGTGGAGCCTGGGTCTACAGAGGCAAGTGAGGGCATCTCTCAGAGAACCTTACAGGATGGGTGAGGCGGCCGAAACGTAGGGGCTGGGAGCACCGGAAGGTTGTGGCGGCGGCTGCATAGGGAAGAACTGCTTCTCCTACATGGGGGTCCGGAAGTAGGGGTGGGGAACCAGGCCAGCATGTGAATTAGGGCAGTTCTGGCAAGAGAGGAGACCCAAAGCCATCCAGGTGGCCCTCCATTGCCCCTGGCTGCCCTTCCTGCCCTTCCTGAGAGCCATGCCAATGGTCTCTGGGTCTGCCTGCTTTGGGGGCAGGGTTGAGCGCTGGCCCCAGGTCTGGGAAGTGGGGCTGACTTTGATAGCCAATGCAGGCTCTCAGGGCTCAGAACTGGCCTCTACAGACCCGTCTACGGGAGGCTCACTTGCAGAAGAGGCCTGTCCCTCCTCAACCAACTCCCAAAGACCACTGAGGCCTCTGGAGCCCGGAGCGGGAGAGCAGATTCCATGTGTTCAACTGCTCTTCAAGGGTGACCATCTCTGGCCTCCCTGAGAAGCAGTCACCCTGCCCTTGCTTAAATACCTCCAGGGACAGAGAGCTCACTACTCCTTAGGCAGGCCCTGTCTGGCGGCTAGAAAGTTTCTCTTTCCCAAGGTAGCCCTGTGCTCCGTGACAGCCCTGCCAAGGGTTTAAAGGCAGTCTGTCCACCCACGTGCGAGCCCTCTCTTGCATTGCCCAGGCTAAGTGTCCCTATAGCCCTTGCTCAGAGGATGGCTCTTTTCTGTCTGCTGTGGGCAGGTGTGACACACCCCTCCCAAGGTGACCAGGGCTTGGGGTCGGCTGATGGGCACACAGATCTGCCAAGGGACAGGACACACCGGCTCAGGGTGAGTGCCATCTGGACTGGGCAGCTGTGCTGGGTCCTGCCTCTGCTCCCAGGGACTGTGTCTGGGGTCCATGGTGGGAGGGTTAGGGGCCCTCTGCCCATCCTCCCCGGGTCCACGCACCTTTTCCAGGCCATCCTCCTTCAGGCTGACGATGTCCAGATCGAAATCCGTCCGTAAGCCACTGGTTTTGTTGAAAACAATCCGTCCAGTTAATCCTTCCCACTGAGCCTGCCGGAGGGGAGAGGCCAGAGCGGCAGATCCTTGGGCTCATAAATCATCATTCGGTACAACTGTACAATGCTCTATTTTAATTACTCCTTGCACTGATACTGTTCCCCCAAGACCATGATTAATTAATAATCATCTCCATCATTGCTTGGGCTGCCGTGCGAGCCAGCGATTTCCATAAATTCTATTATGCACTTTAGCCAGCGTTACACTTGCACCTTCTCCTGTACAACATCGATCTTGGATGCGTCCAAATGAGCCTCCCCGCCTCAAAGCCACGGGAAGGGGGAGCCTGTGCCAGATCCCTGGGGAGGGGCAGGGCCGGGCAGGCCTCGTTGCACATCCAGACACAAGGCCCAGGCCCAGGAGGGGCAGTGGGACAGACACCATCCACATGCCCCCGGCCCCTATCCCCACATGCAGCGGTAAAGAACGCTGGGGTCAGACAGGCGGTGGGATTCAACCACAGGGGTCAGACAGGCGGTGAGATTCAACCACAGGGGTCAGACAGGCGGTGAGATTCAACCACAGGGGTCAGACAGGCGGTGGGATTCAACCACAAGGGCCTGCGTGACCTTGAGCGTTTCATTGATCCACTTCTCTGCCTCAGTTTCCTCATCTACACAATGCAGCTAGCGATCGCCTAGCTTATCACGAAGGGGCGCTGGTGGCACCACAGTGAAGCGCGTGGCTGGCTGCTCACGGAAAGGCTGTCAGTTCTTGCCTGCCCACCGGCTGTGTGATCTGTTCCCAGGATGCCCACGGCCTGGGGCACCCTAGGGGCAGTTCTGTGCCCTCGCCTGGAGCCCCTGTGAGGTGACACGGACTCTGTAGCACTTGAGAACTGCCACAACTTACCCAAAGGCTATGTCACAGGGTTAAACAAGAGACGCTGGAGCAATGCCCAGCACCGCACAGATCTTACATAGATGCCAGCCCCAACCCCCACGGCTGGACCCGCAGGGAGCATCAGGTTTGGCGGAGGAAAGGTGGCTGCGGTGGAGGATTTGCCTGGCCTGGATCCACAATCAGTGCTCACGGAGGCAGCAGCAGAGAGATCCAAGGACACACTGTATTGGGCTGATCTGCTGCCCAAGACCGCTTTAGTGGGTTGGAAAGCAAGAATTTCACTTTGAGGACGACGATGTGCCTGACCCCGGCCGTGGGGTTGTCAGGGCCTCCCCTGCATGGCAGAGTGGGACAGTGCCGGGAAGAGCACAGGAGAAGGGATGCATTTGAATGCAGGTGCTGGAACACCATGGAAAGCACCATGGACCGCCAGAAGAGGAGACAAGTCTGACTGGGGAAAAGTACAGCCAGAAGGCTCCTTAGAGGAGAAGCAGTGAGCGTCTGCCTCTTCGTCTCCCGTGCTTTGGGCATGTTGTCAGGAGGACCAGTCCCTGGAGGACACCGTGCTTGGTGAGAGAGAGGAAGGCCAACAAGAGGAAGACCCTGGGCACGCTGGCCTGATGCGGTGGCTGCTACCGTGGGCTCAGATCTGAGCACGGTGGCGCGGAAGGACCGGGAGATGCCTCGTTCTGTGATACCCAGGGTCCTTGGGAGCCAGAATGATGTCAACGGCAGCCGGGGCTCATTGCCGTTGGGGCTGCTCACCCAGGGGAGGAAGGTGCAGGTTCTGAGAAAGTGTTAAGTCCAGAAAAAGAGGCCGACTCCCTCTTTTTAAAATACAAGGCACTTCAAAAAGTTTGTGGGGAAGTTCTACTATTTTTTCGTTCCGTTTCTCCGTGCCTTTTGAAGCCCCTCGGTAAGGTTCATCAGGACACAGCGCGGTGTACCCACACCGCCAAGGGCCGCAGCTGCATGGCCGGGAGCTGGGTGGAAATGTCTCCTGGGAGCCAGTCTGACCCACAACATCTCCAATGCTGACTCTCTGGCGCTTGACAGAGGAAGCTGGACAGAGTCTCAGACAGCTTCTTCTCTGCGTGGGTCCAGGGCGTCCACTTGCTCAGCCATTGCCCCACTGCCCATCTCACACAGCCTTCACAGCAGCCTGGGAGGGGAGGGCATGAGTGACGATCCCGAGCCCATTGTATGGGGGAGAAAGTGGACGCCCCAGTCCACCGTGGGAACAAGAGGCAGAGCCTCATTAGAATGCAAGGACCCTTCCCGCAACGAGTTAGGGTACGCCCAGAAACGCCAAGTGCTTCCAGCCTTCCAGCCTCTAGTGTCTGGGAGAAGGAATAAAGGCCTCACTTCCCAGAGTCCTTTGGGACACAGGTAGGCCTGGGAGCAGAAGGCGACCATCCGGGAGCTTAGCCAGATGCTGGATCCTTGGGCCAGCGGGAGGGCTAGGGAGAGGGAGCGCAGAAGGTCTGAGCAGTGAGGAGCCCGCTGTGTGTCCTGCCTGTGCCCTGTCCGGATCCCCAGTTCCCTGGGGGTCACAAGCCCTTGAAGATTCTGACGAGAGCTCTGGCTCCCACCTGGGCAGGCAAGTACCCTTGCACCCTAACACTGCTCCCAAAAAGACGCCTGGAGTCACAGATCTTTGCTTCCCAAATTAACTCCTCTGTGAGAACGTGGACCGGCCCTGTGGGTTTGTTTCTGAGACCAGAACCTTTCTTTACTGGGTGCAGAGCCTGCCCCTCCACCCCAGCAGCTGGTGCTTTTGAACTACTGTAGTCAGCAATACAAAGCACAACTCACTCGGGCCCCCAGGACCTCAGGCAGATGGGGAGGCATGTGAAATGACACTCGATGGACACTCGTTTCCATGGTCACCTCCCTCTCATAGTCTCTGCTCCTCTGATATCAGCCCTGTGTGTAGACATTCTCCACGGTCACCCCCGAGGCCATCCTTGGGACTGCCCAGGGACCTGGGTGGTTCTGCAGCCCTGTGCAGTGTACTCCCTCTGAGGGGTGGAGGGTGGAGTGGGGAAGCACTGTGGCCCCAGAGAAACCTGAATCTCCTTCCCTGCCAGGTGGGGGTCAGCATCACCCCCATCTTACAGACAAGAAGGTCGATAGTGGGGATTCACCGGTTGTTCTGTTGGGGAGACAAGGCCAAGGTGGCTCACTTGCATCCAGGTTGACAGCCTCCAGGGCAGTTTCAAGGGAGCCCTGGTGTCGTCATGGTTACACAATGGTCAGCAGTGTGAAAGCACCAAGTGCGCCTCCCATAAAGAGGTACAGCCTCAGACACCCACAAGGGAAGTCTACCCTCTCCTACAAGGTCGCCATGAGTCAGCATCGAGAGAAACACAGGCTTTCTACTCCCATAAAGAGGTACAGCCTCAAACACCCACAAGGGTAGTCTACCCTCTCCTACAAGGTCGCCGTGACTCAGCATCGAGAGAAACACAGGCTTTCTACTCCCATAAAGAGTTACAGCTTCGGATACCCACAAGGGCAGTTCTACCCTCTCCTACAAGGTCGCCATGAGTCAGCATCAACTGCAGAGCAGTGGGTTTGGATTTTTTGGGGGGGGTGGGGGTGGGGGGCAGATGCAGCACTAAAGTGCTCTGGTGGTATAGTGGTTACGAATTATGCTGCTAACCACAAGGTCCCAAGTTCAAAACCACCAGCCACTCCGTAGAAGACAGATGGGGCTTTCTATTAGAGTGAGGAGTGACCGTCTCTGAAACGCCCAGCGGCATGTCCAGCCTGTCCTGCAGCATCCCCATGAGTGGACATTGACTGGGTGGTGGTGAGTGTGTTTTTGTGTGTGGGGGGGGTCATTCTGCGGTGCTACACAGGGTGGCTTTGAGTTGCCACTGACTTGACTGCAGTGGGTTGTGGACCCGAGAGTCTGAGCGAGGGTGTCACTGGGCAGATTCCCTCCCTGCAGCCACAGAGCTGGGGGTGGGGTGGGTGGGGAGAGCTTGTGTCCCCCGGGGTAGGAGGTGAGCTTACATGGAGCCAGGCCCAGGGGGCTGAGGACAAGTGATGAAAGGGGGCACCAGAGAAGGTGAAAACCACTGTTCAGGACTTCACAGGGAGGCTCCACTTCCCTCAGGCATCCTCCCCCTCCTCTGCTGGCCCCCACACCCCCAGGCTATTTCCTGGCCCCCGGAGGGATCGCAGCAGGTGCCTTCAAGCCTGCCTGGCAGGAAAGAAGAATGAAATGCCAGCAGATGCATGGCCTGTCTGTGGGCGGTGGGCAGGGGCAGGGGCAGGGCAGGGAGCTGAGGCCGTCCCTCCCTTGATATTTCCAGCTGCCCGCCCCCAGCGGCAGCACCAGGTTTGTTAAATGAAAGATGCTTCCCAGGCTCTGAACTCCGGCCTGGTATTTCCAGCTCCTCTCGGAAATGCCAAGTCTTTAAAATGACTTACTGTCACGCAGTCATAGGGGAGGGCGGGCACCTTGGAAATGGTCTGCAGGAAGGCCGCCGGGTTTGGGCAAGGCACTGTGTAGTCCCACCCGCCTGCCCACCCACTGCGGGGACCACAGCCCAGTTTCAAAGTCCGGGCCTGAAGATGGAGATGACCTGGAGGCACTCCCGAAAGGGAAGCGCCCAGTATCAAGGAGCATGGGTGCCGAACGCCCAGGGACCCAAGGACCGGGACCATCAGCCTGGCGGGGCAGTCCGGGAAAGAGAATGGGCCTCCCCCTTACAGACAAGCCAAGCCAAGCCCACTCCCATCAAATGATTTCTGATCCAAAGTGCCTCTGCAGGAGGGGCCGAGCTGCCCGTTCCCTTTCCAAGGCGGTCCATCTCTACATAAGTAGAACGCTCCTCTCGTTCCCAAGGCGGGCGTTAACCACCGATGCTGTGGTTAAGAGTGGAGCATCTAACCCCGATGCTGTGGTTAAGAGTGGAGCATCTAACCCCGATGCTGTGGTTAAGAGTGGA